TCATCCTTATGGTGGCCCGCGTGAGATTTTAGCCGGGTTGGCTGGGCTCCTGATGTATTCTTAACTTAAAGATAGCAGCATAGGGGTATAGAATATGTCACTAGGATAGTGGCCTGGTTCCCCATCGTGTCGTTCGGCTTGTAGCACTTCAGAACGAAGTCGCGAAAGAGGTTGTCTTTCACTCCCGGCTCGGTACCTCAGATGGCATTAGACTGTAGTTCTTCTAAACACTCTATAGGGATTCAATAGGTTGTTCTTATAATATAGTCAAAAGACATATACAAGATATCTGAGTGTGCCCGGGTGGCTATTCCACTTATCGTACACCTCGCGGTCAACTTTGACGACACCTTTCGCATTCGGCGTGACCATGCGATACAAACAGTTCCACTCTAGCTTGTGGCTGGCAGAGTTGATCTTGTCGGCTTGGCCAGGCAGGTCGATTCGTTGCAGCATGACCTGGACAAGACCGGGGCCCCAGAGAACACGACGGGAGTTCAGATGTTTAGAAAGTCCGTGTAACAGTATTGTTCGCCGTACCTAACCATACCCTATTAGAAACCTTAAGCTTCATATCTCTATATAGCCAGTAGAAACCCTATAAACCACCAAATCTTTACATTCATAGGCATTGGGGTTGAATTACTATGTCTCTTAGTGTTCGTGCAGGGTTCGACGATACAGGCATTGAGTCCGGACCAGAGCATCTTTCAGCAACCGCAACCGAACTGCAAAGACCTGTAAATCCTGTAAGCCCGATTCGTTCTCCCTCTGCCCTATAAACCCTAACCCTAAACCCTGAACCCTAAAACCCCTATATTATAAACCCTGAACCCTATAAAACCCTAAACTCTGTAAACTCTATAAACCCTATAGACCCTAAAACCCTAAACCCTAGACCCGAAGACCTAAGCAACATTGAGAAGCTCAAAGAAGTGGTGCTTCCTAGGCCTTATAGGAAGCACCACTAATAACTTAGGGTCAGTCAGGGTTTCCTGGATTGGGGTTTGGGTTGATGCTTTAAGGTGCTCGATTTTGCTTTCGAGTTTCGGGGTTGCTGAAGGTTTTCCAAGGTTGACCATTGGTAAAGGTACGTGGCTTGCCTTGGGTTTTAAGATACACGGCTCAGTA